AAAAATCCAAGCAATCCAAACTGAACCCCCCACAAAGCCCAACACACATACATCAGCACAACTTCTACTGCACCATAACAAGCCAACCCTATCCCCTGAGCTAGCTTTTAAGCAAGTAGTAATAATAATAATTATAATTGCTTATACTTATATAGTGCTTTTCTGGACACTCCACTCAAAGCGCTTTACAGGTAATGGGGACTCCTCTCCACCACCATAAATGTGCAGCCCCACCTGGATGATGCGACGGCAGCCATAGTGCACCAGAACGCTCACCACACATCAGCTATCAGTGGGGAGGAGAGCAGAGTAATGAAGCCAATTCATAGATTCACAGGTAACTTAACTGGATCAATTTAACTACTTTTCCCAGTTCCTAAGCTGTGACGATTCAAAGAAATATAAAATCTGAACCCTTTGAGGATCACACAGTGAAAGAGCTGATGGTGTCTGAATCATATAAGGGAACCAGTTGGAAGGCTTTGGAATGTGACAGCGCATCATGTAAGGCAACGCCACTGCTGACACCAAACAACTCGTTTGGAGAGCTAAGCCAGACAGATGTTCCTCGACTCGATCCTTCACTGAGAACGAGCGCAGCAGAAGATGAGATCCATCATTCGCCACCAGGAACCTAAACCAGCACTTCTTAGACAAGATCCTGATCGTTTTCCTTCCAACACATTTCTTTTATTTTATCTGGATGTGTTTACGTGAAAAAAAATTAAATATGCTGCTCATCAATTTAAATTTGAAAGCATTTGGACCTGTTTACTACTACTAGGGATAATCACTGAGAGACTGAAATATAAAGGAAAAAGGGAAAAAGGTTAATAGAGACTGGCCATTTTAACTGGCATCATAAAGCAAACAAAAAATAAAATACCTTTTCTTAAAAAGGGCAATGTGCACAGAGTGTATTATTGATGGACAACCAGAACAACTTGTATTTCTAGAATGGTGCGCTTCTCCTTCAGCAAACAATTGTCTAATATGCTTGTCAACTCATAGTAAGAGGCAACTTCTGCCCACACCTTCCCCAGTAAAGGACAAGCATGTGCTTCAGGCAGTTAACAGGGGCTTTGGTTAAAAGTTTCCCACATCATTGATGAGTTATTGTCTGCTTCTTATGGTAGTAAAATACTGAAGTTCTGGGTGTCCTGTAATGTGGCTTAACCGTGCGATCTTAAGAGTGGTGGTTCCTCCCCACCTCGGGGATCACGGTAGAAGTTATCGATGTCACTGTGAACCAGCAGGACCCGACACAAATCCTGAGTGCGAGATTTTTCGCAGGTGTGAATGCAGCAGCGGAACAGCACCGTCTACATCAGTAAATTAGCATTTATATTGCATAACCCATACAGCACTGAGCCTCGGGGAGGTGCTGGGTTGAATAAATTGCTGGGTGCAATGACAGCACTCTGTGATCAAGTCCAACTCAAAAAAACATCCACCAATGTTGTAGTTAAGAGGCACAGTGGGGTGAAGTGAAAGCTGATTAAAGAGGATATTTGACTTCCATGGTGGTGACAGCAGGGATTCCAGGGTGAGAGAGTTCCTGTAATAAACCAGCCTCCCTGCCTCTCCACAGCATTTTTCTTAAAAAAATCATCAGGTTTAGAATTCTACTTCTGTAATACTTTAGAAATTAAGAGTTAGGTATTTTGTTTCCTGGAGCAAAACGTTTTGCAAGCCACATATTTAAAATGACTCAGTACAAACTTGACCTCTGGGTCTTCAAAAGGCTTTCAGATGTCTGTCCTCAGGGGGCATTGCAACTGGGTGAAGGAGCCTATGTTAGAACTCACTCTTTAGCAATGCACACCAGATACCTCTTCTTATTACACCCATGCCTGACAGCAGAGTCACCTTGTACTGTACTTCTCTGCTCTGGGAGCTTAGCACAGCTCTTCAAGCAGGGAAGTGTGAAACGGAGGGTCACACATACCTCTTGTGTCCATTTTCACCAAATAATTGCCCTCCATAATAAGATAAGAAAAAGCAACAAAGACTACACCAGATACTAAAAATGTTAAAAAGATGCATTGCACCTGCTTAGAGTGATTCTTACCTTATCACTATGAAAGATCTGCTTGACACTAAACATTGAGGTCGTCAACTGTATGCGAATTCAAGGACTGTCTGTAAAAAAGGTCCAAATTTCACACTGTCCCCAAATCCCCAAAACACAAAAAACATAATTTGCCGATGAAAAAAGTGTTGTTCTATAAAGATTTTTGTTTCAAGTGTTGCATGAAGGAAATGGAAAATGCAGTGAAATGCATAAAAAAATGCAGAGGGAGAACAAAGTACTTTTAGCAGAAGATGAAAATGTCACATGCTATCTCTCACTGGAAAAAGTAAAAAGTATGTTATCTGTAAAAATAAGAGTCTTTTTGTCAGTAAATTGGTAATTCAAAACCAAATTGTAAGATTTCAGCTGAGCTCAATGGTTTTATTGTATTGTTTTCTTATTTAGAAACAAATGGGTATAACCATGGTGTGGTGATAAATATTGTATGTCACGCACAAGAAGCTTCCTGTCAACAGTAACCTTTGAGGGATCACAGGAAGCAGGTAAGAGAACCTGAAGGCACAGTGTTTGTATTGTTCCAGGAGACACTTCCCCACCCACTCCAATCACATTTGGCCTTATGGACTGTGCTGTTGTCACACCTCTATACACTCCTGACTTGTGGTTGCTAAGGTGTTTCCTGTGTCTGTTTCGTGTTTGTGTGGACTGAATTAGTATTTGAACCAACTCCAAGAGACCCAGCAACCAAGAATCAGAATTGCCTCTCCAGATTTTCTGGGGGTGGATACTGTGTTGTCTTCTTGCCACACGTCCCTTGCTTTAAGAAATCACCATTTCACAGATACGGTATATGTATTTATTAAACCTATATTGTTAATCTACATATTGTGTTTAACACACTCCTACACACAGACCTAACCTCCAGACACCTGGACTTTCAGGATGCAGTAAGAGATAAGGAGAGAAACAGTCAGTGGGGATAACCTTTCTCCCCAGATGCCTAGTTTCCTGCCTGGATCAGACACATTCATTTTTTACATTGGAAGCTGTTGCATGAGTCACACAAGGGCAGATGGAGATGCCAACTGCTGCCCAAGAGAAAGTGCCTTGGGACAGGGGTAGTCAACTTTAGCACCTGGATTCCATGCCATTACAGGACTCATTACAGGACTTATAAGGACTTACAGGACCAGTAAGTTTATATTGCATCACCCATACAGAAGTGAGCCACGGACAGCTCTTTATTGATTAATTAACCCTTCAGGTTAACACTTCAATAATAAAAGATTAACTGGATCATCACCTTGGAATGGCCTGGAATCCAGCTTTGACAATCCCTGCTTTAGGGCAACAGTGCAGTAAAAGTTGCATGTTCTCAAATAAGGGTTAATTGGACTAAATGAATCCTCTTGCACAGGTCTGAAACTGTTGGCTATTTTATACAAGGGACCCAAAGGTGGTCATGTCGGGCAGTGTGTCTGCAGGTTTTTGCAGGACTCTTTAAAGCACTAGCACCTTAAAACTTGGGACAAGATGTCAAACTGGTTCAATTAAGAGAAAAAATGAATTGATTAAGGTAGTTAAGAACCCATTGACATACCTGCCTTCTAGGACCAGGATTAGGAACCCTTTAATGAGACCTACAAAACCTGCTGGACAGTCACATTTAAGAACCAGACTTAGGGGGCACTGCCATAAGCTGAGTCTCTGGTTGCAACTGAAGAAGGGGTTTAAGGCAGGATTTGGACTGAGACAACCGTACACTGTTTTCCTGTTTATAAGACACTTAAAGGGATTGGAGAAAATCACATGACCTTGTCAAATGTTCATTCAGACCTCGCAAGCTTATTGCTATTCTTGTTTTTTGTTATTTTTCCACTATAGTGCAGAGTGGTGAAATTCAGACTATAGCACATGGTCCTGCATTATCAATGTTCAGTTGTCAAGAATTACAGTATATAGAAGTTGCAGTAGGTAGCTGCATCAGCATGCTTAGGCTGCAGAGAGACAGGTAAAGTTTTGATCTATGCTGAAAGGAAAAGAAAAGTGACATGGCATTTCTCCTGTAGAGCCCTCTGCAGGTGTGAGGGAGAGAGGGAAAGATTAATTGCTGGTTTCCCCCTCTCCCTCCCCAAAGAAAACACCTGAAGAAAACCCCCAAACCAAAACTTTGTATCTCTTTTCTTTTCCTTTCAGCATTTAATAAAGTTATACCTGTTCCATTAACGTTTCCTGTTTCAAACATAAATTTAAATTTTCTTTTGTATACACAACATATGAAAATATTTCCCACAAATATAAATGCATTTCTGATGGAATATACATTTCCAAATACTTCTGTGTTGTGGAAGGTATTTAGTCTTATAAATATACCTTGTGTTACCATAAGTACATAAGAATTCAGAGGCATTTCCTAATTGCAATTATACTCCAAAGGGTTCTATGGAATTTCATTTATTGGTGCTACTTTACAATACATTGGACCCCTGTGAACTGCTAGCTGGCTGAATGAAATCAGAACACTCCAGATCAAGGTAAATCAATGCCAGGCTGTGACCGGTTGTACTGTAGCTATCTCTGTTTCTGTTTGCAGAAGAGGTAGCCTACACATTGGTTTCCAGGTGTGGCCTTTGTAAAACTGTACTGCGCCTTTAAGCAATGAACTATTATTTCTCTTTCTAAAACACAGCACTGTAACTGAAAACAAGCCCCATTCGTCCCAATTTCTCGCATTCATTGGCTAAACTGCCGTTAATGGGCACTATGATTAACCTCACAGACAGAGGCAAGCAGGCATCGGGTTCTCCTCTAATTGGGCGAGACGTGTACCTTCCCCCCTTCGTCTTAAGGCCCGCCTATTTTGTCCTGAACCCTCCAATCAATACTCCAGTCCGAGGCCGAATTTAGAGAAACTGCAAACTCTCTGTCACTAACACTGAGAGGTATGCAGGCTATTATAGGAAATATAGAGCCAAAATGGCGGATATGGACCAAAGATTTTGTCTCGATGCGAAATGTCTTTTCCGGGTTTATCATGTATACATTTAAAAGCTGTTAACTAGGATTAAACTACTTACAGCGTCTCTCTTCTGCAATACTTTTGTCCTGGCTCTTGCCCAGGTGGCCTACAACCCTGTTAGCCCAGCCTCTGTCCCGCCCCTCGCTCGCTGCTCGCTGCTCTCCCTCCCTCCCTCTCCCTCTCTGGGTTTGCCCGCAGCACTGCTGGAGTCGGGCTAGTTGGGTTCCAGTAGAGAGATGGCGGCGACAGCGTGCAGGTCTGTGCTCAACGTGTCCCGGAGCACCGGACGATTGACAGCCAGCTTTCCCGCATTGGGCGTCAGTAGGCACCGACACCAGCAGCACCAGCGGCCGGTGAGTCCCAGGAGCTGAGTGGTGGGGCTGAAGGGGGCGGGGGGGTAGGAAAGAGTATGTGAGGTGGGGGGACCGTCCTGAGCGGAGGGGGACCCGATCTTGGGATATATGAGCAGAAAACAGGGGGTTCGCATATGAAAGGGGGATCCATGTATGTTGGTTGTGTGTTCCATGTACGTCTGTGTGAGGTCTGATAGCGTATGCAGGACGTGTACCGTACTGTAGTATTCTGTAATGTACCCAGCAGGAACCGCAGCGCGCAATCTCCCATCTCGATCACAGCGCAGACTCTGGTTATGCAGCTCGCACTCTCTAGCAAAAACTGATTATTAATACCAATAAATATAAATGTAGACGTTTCTCACACATAATTACAGGTTGTATGAAGCGGTTGTCATGTTTGTGTGCTTATCCGGAAATGCAACAGGACTCTAAACTTCATTAAACCGGTTTACGCGTACAGTGTGTCTGTAGTCCAAGTTATGTGTTAATAGATGGTTTTTAACTCTGTTCAAGTGCAGAATTAGAATAACGCTCCTATTTGCCCTTTTAAGAATGTGTAGCTGAAGCATTGCATAATCGCAGTGTTGTAACTTTATACTGTGTGTGTTATGTGCGGCAAGTTGCTTCTCCGTTCCCTCCCATTTAATAAAATAAGCACTTCAGACCCCTCGACCCTCCACACACACCCTCCGGTTAGTCTTGCGGTGGATCTGTGCTGTGTCTGATTAGTATGGTATGAACTTCAAGTCCCTGTACGTACGCAGTCCAACTAACCGACTCCCGGTTTTCAAATCAACATGCTTCAAAAAGAAACTCCACGACATACGTTGAAACCCCTCCCTTTATGTTGAGCTGCTGTTGAGCACGGCAATTACTCAGTTTCCTTGTACAGTGTCGCCGACTTCCCAGGCCGTCGATCGCAGAGTAATTCCACCAACTCTGCCTTCTCTGCCTCGACAGGATACCAGCCTCGGCCTGTAAATAGCTTGTAGTAAACCGATATCTATACATACACAAACTAATCGTTGAGCTGGGTCTGTACCATAAATCCCCATGAAGAATATAAATTATCATTACTCTCATCTTGGCTAGCGCAACAGCATACCTCTTGTAATTCAATTTCTCTGGCTCTGTTAGCAACGCTGTGTTCCGTGTATTCATGCATTTTGGTAAAAAGGTCCTTGTGGATATATTCCACTGTCTATAGATACAAAATTATAATCTGGCACCACTACGTCTTTCTTAAAATGTAGTAATGGTGTTCTACTGTTTCTGCTCATTCCAGTCGATCTCGAGTGTGAAAATCAAGTCGAACACAGAGGACTTACAGTAGTTCATTTAACACCCATGACCACTTTCACAATATTACAGTACTGAGAGTCAGATGGCAGGCTTTTTTCATGTCACTAAGGTTTCTTACCTCCGCTGTTATTGAACAGATGCTCGCTACATTAAAATGAGCACCCACACACAACACGTTTTACATTTTATGCAGTGGAGCAAAATGGATTTTGCCCTCTACAAAACACTTGTAAAATATCACCTCTCTGTATGAGTGTTGGGCCCTGCATGGAAATCACCTGTTCGTGTTCATCTCAACCACTTCGAAACTGTCACCTTGGAGAGCTGGTTGGATTGCGATCTGGAGAGGGGGGATGATCAAGTCTCACCGTGATGTACAGGGGTGAATGCAGTCTTGAAACGGTGACCGGTGTCTGTAACTACAGTTTGGTTCTGTGCCACATGGTTGTAGCATCTTCCCGATAGCTGCTCTCGAAATGAGTGGGCTTTGTGTGCGTTTTCAGCTAATGCTCTGTACGTCTCTGTGTGGTCACATTGCTGGCCCCAAACACTTTGTGGCTTGTTAGCAGACTTTTCAATGAATTTGATTCTCTGTAGCTAATGTTTTGTAATTGACCACCTCACTGTGCAAATGGCAACAGTTCCATGCTCTGTTGAACTGTGTACCCAAGAAAACCTGGCATCTAGGATTTTTAAAAAATCTATCCTAAACTGTGTGTCAGCTTTGAACATAAAATGGATTTAATAGCCTTGTCACTTGAACTCTATAAATATTCAATTTTTACTTCAGTCAGATGATATTTTGTGTTACAGCAGTGATAAAATCTTTCCTTTCTTACTCAGCTGGCTTGCTGGACATGGTTAGCATAGTTCTGGAGCCCAACAATGACAGTAAGTCATAGTGCAGGCAGATGTCTTTATCACCTGGAGGGGCTGTCAGTGCAGTTCTCAGTGTCTTCATCTGTGAGCAAGCCGATAGATCACTGCAGTACACTCACACCCTGTTCCTGTTAGCTGTATCTTTAGATGATGGTCTTACTCCGCATCTCCGTTTAAAGGCTTGTCAACTCCATGGTGAGAGTTTGCGTGATCCCCCAATATCTCAGCACAGTGAAAAGTAGACAGTAGATGGGTGCTTGTGCTGAGTGTGTAAGTTCCTTAAAGGGCCATGTTCAATGCTGTCCTGTGATTTATGAGACAACCCCAATTTGAATTTCTATTAGTTTTAAGTTTATGTGCCCCTTTTCCACAGACTGCATTTTGTAATTGTCTGCAAGTTTTATCGGACAAAGGCTTAATCTAAATACAGACAGTAGTAGCTGTAAAAAGTGAACAAGAAATGTCAAATTCTTCCATCTACATCAAAATATAGGTACTTTTTCACATCACATCTTTTCACATCACAACTTCAAGATGAGCACATTCATCAAATAGTTAAGTAGTATGTGTACTGTAAACTGAACATTAAAATCCGTGTGTGTTGTCTTAATCACCATGTCTTCCCTGTTGTGAGTTCCCAGTGCTGCTGGGTTGTGGTTTCTGCTGACTTTGGCGTTTGCCTGCTGTGACTAACTCTGAAAGGTGAGGGCAAAGACAGTGAAAATCATGGATATTGATTCTTTTTTCCCAAACACATCTTACCCATTGGTGACCAGAGCAAATACATCAAGAACTTCCCCGCCACTTCAGCTCAGACCAGCCATTAGGAAGTCATTTTCATGAGTTAGCCTACTTTTGCTTCATTAGTTAGTTAGCATGAGTAATAATGTCATTTGTAATGCTTGGCAGACACACAGAAAGACGTGAAACCAATCAGAGATGAAAGAATCGGGGAAAACAGCAGGCGTTCCTCTGAGTTCTTTGTGCCTAGCAGCGGTCAGTCTGGCCAGAGTGTCCTGAGAACCTACAGTAATTCATTGTGAGATTATCTGCAGTTATGCTGCTTAGTTCCTTCCCCTTGGTTTCTGTATACATTAATGCCTCATGCATTGCAATGGCTGCAGAAGAACAGATCCTAAATGAATGTGTGCCATCTGGGTTTATTTAGGAAAAGTACATTTTGAATTTCTGAAGATCTGTTTTGTCTTAGTGGGGAGTGTCACATGCTTTATTGTACAGCTCAAGGACTCTGGGTCAAGCAAGGGCTCTGTCTGAGCAGGTGCAGATATGTCTGCTGGGGTCGGGGGTCACAGGGAGGTCACACTCACCCCTCAGAGCAGTGCCTCTGACCTGATTCCGACTGTCAGGCATGTTCCTTAATACTTGAACTCTTTTAGTCACTCCTGCTGTGCCATGTGCAGCCCAGTCAACACATTGGACAAAGTCTGCTGGACACCTCTTGGGGGGATTGTTGTTTTTCCTTAATGGTTTTCTTATAGTTTTTGCAACCAAACGAGCGAGTGAGGCAGAATTGAGATCAGATAATCACACTAAATAGTGTGATAGCCTGTGCAGCCAGCATGAAATAACACTGCAGGAACGGCAGGGCATATAAACTGTTCTTGGTTCAGCCTGGGGTTTGCTGTAGAATTGGTTCTTCTTTCCCATTCCCCCAGATAAACAAATTCAGGGCTTATCGTGCTACGTGGCAAAATCAGCTCCTTGTTTTTAATCGTGAGCATAAACTCCTGAACTGCAAAAGTAGCACGAGGAAAGTGAGGGCATGGAAACGGGAATATCTCGGTTAAGATTTAAAAACTACAGCACTGCCTTTATTGACTAACTAAAGTTATTCAATAAAGTAAAGCAAGTGGTAGTTTGAGGACTGGACTGCTGGCTTTTAGGAGTGTTCCACTCAAATAAGAAAAATAGAACTAAAATTATTACATTTGTTTGCTCGTTTCTAAATTAAGCTTGAACACCGTTTCACTTTAGAGCACTTATCTGATATTTTTTGCCCAAATCAAGACTTTCTTCAAGACTGTTATTTGCAGAATTTGTTGGATATGATAAGAGATGACTGGCAAAACCATATTTAGCATGGAATGCTTTCAGACTATCTGAAGACAATTTTGTCGCGTGTGCAATCAATGGTAGGATGAGAAAGACAGGAAACACAAATTCAACTACTGTTCCACTGAGCAGGTCACCACCTGCTCCTGCCACCTCTGACTACAGTGTGTCTATTAGAACTGTACTATCCTTACTATAGAGTCTGTAGTACTCATTTTTACTCCTCAGATTTATTTTGATTTAAACTAGGATATAACAGTTTTGTTTGAGTTCATCATTTTTAAGTGCTTTTCAAAAAATCCATGAGTGCTTTAGCAAAAACATAAGTAAGCAAAAAAAAAAAGCTTAAAATATCATGAAAGTATCAATGAAGCCAAAATAGATCAAGGCTTTCTGTGTGGCTCAGAGGGAAATGAGAGACACCAAGCAATAGAAGCTTTCTGTCAGGAAGAATGTTTCTGTGCCAGGATAAGGATTTTTCATAACAAATACTTAAACTTAAACAATGTAACAGCATTGCTTAGTGGAATTTTGTGTGCCATCAGAAGGACTGACTTAAAACACTTGTTTTCTTTGTTTTCATTATTGTGGAAACTGAAAATATTTTTATCTGGACAGTATTCTGTAGATTGAGGTGATCTAGCTCGGCTCCTGGAGAGCCAGTGTGTCTGCGCATTTGTACCTCATCTCACCTTGGGATGACCTTAATCATTTTTGGCTTAAATGAACCATTGTCTCAACTC